AATTTCTGGAAGGAATCAAGAATAATATGCAGAGGATCACTGTTTCTTCTGTCTCCTCATAAGGAAATCCTGGCTTACTGTGGGCTGGTGGCCATGACAGATTATTTTCTTAAAAAGTGATAGGAAAAATTGTGCTGTAGCTTGATAGCTATCTTGTTTCGGAAAAGAAGCCCCATTTCTATCAGTGGGTATTTATTTTATGTATTTACATATAATAATGGAGGTATTAAATAACTGCTTTGAGCATCTTCTGCCTGCAGTGGACTGTGGTGAGCACCAGAGCAGGCAGAGGCGTCAGTGCCTTATTGCAGCACGTCATTCACACGTTGATTCACTCAGCAGATGTTTATTGCGAATCTGCAGGGCAGCTGGCTCTGGTTCTTGCTCTCATGGAGTTTGCAATCCATTAAGGGGGAGAATGTTTGATATTGATCACACTGTATTGAAATTATTGTTTTTATGTAATACTTGCCATCTCTTTACTGGGCTTTACTCTCCTTGAAGCAGGGGTTATATGCTGTGCATTACTGAATTCCCACTACGGGCACATTGTAGGCACCTGGTGAATATTTGTTAAATGAGTCAGTGGCTGATTACATGAAGGAAAGAAGCACAGACTTTGGCATTTTGTTCTCTGAGCTAGATCCCGACTCGGCAGTTTACTAGCTCTGTGACTGAGGATAAGGACATGAGGCTTTATAAAATAGGGACCTATTTTGCAGGGTGGTTGTGAGGATTAAAAGAGATTATACACAGAGCACCTAGCAACAGTGCCTGGCATACACTTCTAAATTTAAAAAAGCATGTTCCCTTCCTACTCTAGCTCCCTAAGCCTTTTACATCTATACAGGAAAGCTAAGTGAGAAGATATTTCCACACTTCATTGGTTTGCTTATGTTTTGAAATTGAAAACACTGCCCTATGGGGGCAGGGGCACCTCTGAGCCCTTTGATAGCAGCCCAGATCAGCTTTACCATGGTAAAGAGGAAGCCCATTTTCATTTGAGGAAGATGCCAAAGTTCTAGAGGTGGAAGGTTGTGATGGTTGCACAAGAATGTCAATGTACATAATACCACTGAACCGTACACTTAAAAATGGTTAAAATGGGGAGCTGGCCCAGTGGTGTAGGGGTTGAGTTTGCATACTCCACTTCCACAGCCCAGGATTTGCAGGTTTGATCCCCGGGAGCAGACCTACATACTGCTTGTCAAGCCGTGCTGTGGTGGCAACCCACACACAAAAATGGAGGAAGATTGGCACAGATGTTACCTCAGTGACAATCTTCCTCACCAAAAAAAAGGTTAAAACTGTAAATTTTATGTGTATTTTACCACAATAAATTAATTAAAAAAAAAAAAACTAGGGGGCTGGCCACATGGCCGAGTGGTTAAGTTCACGTGCTCTGCTTTGGTGGCCCAGGGTTTTGCTGGTTTGGATCCTGAGTGCAGAAAGGGCACTGCTCATCAAGCCATGTTGAGGTGGCATTCCACATAGCACAACCAGAGGGGCCTACAACCAGAATATACAACTATGTACTGGGGGCTTTGAGAAGAAGAAGGAGGAAGATGAGGAGGAGGAGGGGGAGAAGGAGGAAAAGACTGTCAACAGATGTTGGCTCAGGTGCCAGTCTTTAAAAAAAACAAACCAAAAACCAAAAAACGAAACCACTGCCATGATTTACATGGCTGCCTCTCCCAGCAGGTGAGCCATTGCCAGTCCGGACCATTCTCATTCCCTCAGTCCGGATGTGGGTCAGCAAGCGGATGTGACTGCAGCTTCCGTGAGACCCCGAGGCCTGGCTGGAGCCTTCAGGTTGCTCAGGTTGAAACTGAGTGATAACAGGCACTCATAGCTATGTTGAAGGTTATTCTTTCTCCTCTTTTTGCCCCGCCCCACCTGAATCTGTCAGCAAGTCCTTTTGACTCTACCGCAAAATCCTGCAAAATCCTGCGTGATTCCATACCTGTCTCTCCTCTCTCATTTCTAGTATTTCCATCCAGTGCTGAGCCGCCATTGTCTCTCACCTGGACTGCAATGGCCTTTTCAGTGGTCTCCCTGCCCTGCTTCTCTTACCATCCATTCTCTTCAGGACAGTTTCCAGGACATAAAGCATATGACTCCCCACCCCCTAAACAAATGAAATTTGAACAAATGAAGAAACAAATCCGCTTCCCTGTTGAAAGCTCTCTAGTACTTCCTATCAATGTTAAAATAAAACCCAAACTCCTTATCATGCACAGCTCTTTAGATCTGTCCCTATGCCCCTCTCCAACCTCAGCTTATCCTGGTCTCCCCTCACTCACATACTCCAGCAATGCTGGCCTTCTTTCTGCTCCTCCAACCTGCGACATTCCTTCCCAGCTTACGTCCTTTCTCCAGATGTCCTGCTGTCTGGAACACTCTTCCTCTGGTCTTTGCATAGCTGGCCCTTTCTGACCTTGCAGATCTCAACCCAGATGTCACCTCTTCAGAGAGGCCTTCCCTGAGCCCCTGTGTGGCCTGTCCCTCTGTCCCGTCACCCTGTGTGTGTTCTCTGCTCTCTGATGTTGTCTTATTTATGAAAGTCTTATTTGCTGTTTGTCTCTTCCACCTAGAATGTGAGTTCCATGAGAAGGAGAGGGCTTGTTGTGTTGCTCTCACTGCATCCACAGGGCTGGATCAGTGCCTGGCACAGAGAAGGCCCTTACAAAATACCTCTTCAATGAGTGAGTGAACATCAGCACAGATGAGTTCATGCAGCAAAGGAGTCAGACGAGAATACCTGTGAGGAAGCTCTGTTTCCCTCCCCTTACATTTTTTCTGTCACATTTTCGTTTGCTAATCCCCATCCTTGACCTTCTCCATTCCACTTGTTTCCAAGTGATTGTCCACTCTTTGTTATTCTCCATCCCAATAACCTTCCCTGTCACAAGGATGCTTAAAGCCCCCTGCTTGTCCCAGCCCCAAATTCCATCCACAACCAATCACACGTGCATGAGAAGAGAAGGTCTGAAACACAGCATCTGTCACAATTGCTCACTTCTGTACAGTTAGACCCTAAATTTTAGGAGACATCATAGCTACAGGTGAAGCTAGCCATGCACTGCTGTGCATCTTAGTGAGATGCCAGTCAGGACCAGGGCAGGCAGGATGAAGTCTTCCCTGGCCAGCAGCCAGGTCGCACTCCCCTGTGCTCCCAGCCCTCTTTCACATTCAGCTTCAAGGCTCTCCATGAGGCTCCGTGGAGCAATTGGTCTTCCTGCTCTCCTGCCTGTTTCCTGAGATCTGTCCCTGTCCCTCGGCTTTCCAGTTGTACTACCCTCTTCTTTGTATCTATATTAAGATAAGCCTTCTATCCATATTATATCACCTAATTCTCATAACCCCCTCTGAAGAGAGCATCCCCATCTTCCCAATGGGGAAGCTGAAGCCTAGAGAAGTTACATAACTTCCAGAGCCTGGCTTACTCTAAGACCCAAGGAGGTAGATGGTGCCTGCAGAGCAGGTGTGCTCAGGGGAGCTGAGCAAGTGAGCTTGGTTGGGGCAGGGTGGCCACGCTGGAAGAAGCAGAAATCAGGTGGAAATGGAAAGGGATCGCTCTTTAAAAGGAGCAGCCATTTTCAATTAGTAATAATGAGAGGCATTGACAGTCCATGTGTTTAGTGGGAAGAGCAAGTAATTCATGACTTTTAGGGCTGAATTTGACACCCAGCTTTGTCCTCTGCTAGTTGTGAGCTCTGTGCAAGTTACTTAGCCTCTGAGCTTTACTTCCTTCACCTTTTGGAACTTTATTCCAAAGACTTATGATTAAATGGAATTTATGTATCTTGAATTCGATTTTCCCTGAATTAAATAACTGTTTCAGGTAAGTGAGATAGTAAATGAGATACCTCAGTGATCACCTGATGTATATAAGGTGGCGTGAGGTGCCCGGCATGCCAGGATGTTTGAGGGCCAGGGCCAGGGATGGAGCTGGGAGTTAAGGACAGTCAGGGCCTGGACAGTCAGAGTCCACTCCAGGGTGAATTTCTGTGTCTGTTGCTCATTGTCTGTAGGGACAGAATTACAGGCACATCGCTAACCTGGGAAGCCAGTCGGATGGGTGGGACACAACCACCACCATGGATGTGTTAGGAGTAGCGATTTTGCCTGGCGGGCAGCAGCATCATGATTCCAGCCACCCAGTATTTTTACTCACAGCCAGACTCATAGGTGAGAGAAGGACACTGGCTAAGTGGTTGGAGGTTGAGGGGGAACAAGCGTGCATACTAGGGAAACCGAGGCAGTGCCATTCATATGGACTGAGCCAGTTTGGTGGTGTCAGGGAAAGGCTGTGACTGACAGGGCCCACCACTGCTCAGGGCTCCCTGGATGCCTGGTGTGAGGCCCAAGCATAATGACAGGCCCACCAGCAAGTGCACGGAGCACTGCTCTTCTCCCGACCCTGCTAGGGCAGACCCAGATATGGACAGGGTCACTCTGGTGAAAAGCTCTAGGGACTACGGCTGGGAGGTGTATGGAAAATGAGAGCTGACCCTTCCTCACCCCTCTTCAGCCCTTTGGCCAGTGTGGTTTTGTGCTTTTAAAACATTTTATTTATTTTTGAGTAAATGAACATCTGAGACAACTAGTGTTATAAAAAGACTAACCTATTGGAAAAGTGGGGAAATCCACCCTATAGTTCAGAGAGAGAGCTTAGACTGGCTGAAACACTTTTGCTATCCTAGAGCAGTGGTTCTGCATCAGAATCATCTGGGAGATTTGTTAAATCTAACTGCTGGGGCCCATCCCTAGAATTTCTGAATCAGTTTGTCTGAGGTGGGACCTGAGAATTTGTGTTTCCAGCAAGTTCCCAGGTAATGCTGCTGTGGCTGCTGCAGGGGCCATACTTTGAGAACTACTGTCAAAGGGTAATCCATTTATTCAGTATGCTCTGAATGGAAATTACATGTTTTTTGCCAAGTCCATCATTGCCATAAATATCTTCTGTTGATATGCTTGTCTATGTCTCATTTGAACAGGTATTTTGACGTTGGACTGCATAATTTCTTAATCAGGTAAGCCAGTAATTTTTATTTTAGATATCATTGACTAGCTTGTCTATTTATGGAAGACTGAGATGAAAATAAAATCTTTGTTAAATACCTTGATCAATAATGGCAATTGTATACTTGTCAAGAAAATACCACTAGCACTGTATTTTTTTTGTCCCTCCCAGAATCACCCATGAAATTATCCTTTTTGAACAAAGGAATTTATGTTTAAACGGGTTTAGATCTGAAGCGATAGTTGCCCAAGAGCTTGGACAAGCTTAATTCCAACTGCTGGGCTGCTGGAAAGACAAGTAGAAAAGTGAAGAGTGCCAGCTTGCTTTCATACATTGAAAAACACACTTAACCAGTTTCCCCTCCATTGACTTTAAGCTTTTTAAACTGAATTTACTGGTTGTTTTACAGTTGTGAAGATACAACCTTTTTCATAATTGAAAGAGATTACAGAGGACAGTTTATGTCCTAGTTTATTGGTGATTATTTTACCCGAGTTGGCGTATGGGGCATATTAATTCCAAATAGCTATTAAATCAAACAGAGGTTAAATGGAAATATGCCAGAACATTAGCAGTGTTGGTAAGAAAATGCATGATATTTTTTATGCTATCAACTTTGCTGTATTTTCTAGATTTTTTTATATTGAGCAGGTGTTATTCTCAGAGTGAAAAATGATCATTAAAAATGCCTGTCAAAAATATATATGGAAAGCAATAATGATTGCTGAAGGACTGTAAGCTAAAGATTACAAGAAAACCAGAAATCATGTAGAATGATTTGCTTTCTGCAAATATGTGGCTTTAAATGCTAATTAATTCTGACTAAGAATCTGCTAATAAACAATCTGTAAATCACATGTGATTTCTGGATAGGTGTTACTGTGGCTCAGTTCTCCACAATGCATGACCGTCTCCCTGTGGGTAAGATGCTCTCTGAGGGGAAGTGTACATTACTGACTTCACCTTTATCCTAAACCCAGAGCATTCCCTTGGTGCTGGATTGCGTACGGTGGTGTTCCAAGAAAGACCACGCGTACCTTGTCCTTTCTCCAAGGCTTGACCCAAGGCTGTGCATTGAAATCTCCTTGGTCTACTCCAGACCCAAGGAATATGGATTGTCCTGGCTTTCTCCAGGATATCACACATAGATGGTAGTGTGTGTCGATGGAAATAATCCATAACCAATCTATAAATGAAAATTTGGGTGAGTTTATTCTGAGCTAAAATGTGAGGACCATGGCCCGGGGCCTTTCTTCCCGAAGGAAAAAAGAGCACCAAAGAAGTGGAGTGTACAGAGTGGTTACATAACCCCAAAGAGGATGTTTCACATATGATTGAAATGTCCCTTTTACAATAGTTGAGAGACTGCTTTGTCGGCACAGTGATTGATGGACACAGCAGGTAGTGGGTCTGCTGTCTCGAGCTGGGTGGTCATAGGTGAGCTGGGTGGTCAAAGGTGAGTGCAACAATCAGTTCCTAGACTAAGGAAAGATGCTTATCCTTAAGGAAATGCCAATGTGGGGGAAGATGCACCTTTATCTTAAGGGTGTTTGTTCTTGCCATAGTAAATGTTTAAAGCAGATATATAATGCATGCTCAACAGCCACATCAGGCCCTTTGGGAAAAAACAAAGTCAGGCCGAATTAGGGTTACACCAAATGGCTTCCTCATATACTCCCATATATCCTATTGCTTGCCATTTCTATTTGTCATGTGGAAACCGCTGCCCTTGACACATGGAGGGTAAATGCATTTTAGCAGGAGGGATAAAGGACCAGCGGTCATGGGAAAGGCAGGCCTGAGAATTCCATATCTAAGCTGATCAGAAAAAGCTGTCTGGGCATACTTCAGGGAGTAGTTTGGATTTTTGAGTTGATGTCTTGGTACTTTGTACTACTCCCATGCTACTGTTCACATAATTCCTTGCAGTAGATGCAAGTTTGTACTTTTATTTTTTTTTAAAGATTTTATTTTTTCCTTTTTCTCCCCAAAGCCCCCCAGTACATAGTTGTATATTCTTCGTTGTGGATCCTTCTAGTTGTGGTATGTGGGACGCTGCCTCAGCGTGGTCTGATGAACAGTGCCATGTCCACGCCCAGGATTCGAACCAACGAAACACTGGGCCGCCTGCAGCGGAGCGCGCGAACTTAACCACTCGGCCACGGGGCCAGCCCCTGTACTTTTATTTTTGCTAGTAACTTTCTGGAAGGCAGGGAGCATGTCTTAATCACCTTTCTATGACTAAACTGTATAGAATCAACCTTCAACAAACATTTGTGGTAGGAGTGAATGAATGAGTGAATGAATGAAATGAGGCAGAAAGGACAAGGAGGGAGAGGATTAAGGAGAAACTATTTGGTCCTTTATTCAACAAATAATTGTTAAGCCTACCATGTGCCACTTATTTGGGTATGTCTGGGAATACCACCATGAGAAAAAAAGATACTTGATTTAAAGCTGTTCCTGAGCTTGTCACTTGCCAGATTTGTGGTTTGACCTACTTGGAGTGAGGAGGAGAGTTGGTCTGCCTCTGGGACCCCTGCCTCCCTTTCCTTCTTCTGGGCTCCAACCATGTCTCCTGTGTTGGGTGGGGAGGAGGGCGAGGGAGTGGTTATGCTCCTCTGATGTAACTGGTGCTGGGATCTCCTTGTCCTGGCAGAAGGCCATTCCAGTGGGTACTGGTAAGATGCTCCAACTAGTCACCTTACTCAGTGTTCAGTGAACCAAGCAGAACTGGGAGAGTAAGGCTTCTTTCTGCCCTGCCATCTCTCTGCACTTTTCCTTTCTCTTGCTCTGGTAGGGGCAGAGCAGATCAACATGTCCATAGCTTGTCCACTTGGGGAATGAGAGGTTAGTCTACCCTTCTTGCAGACATGCCCAGTCTCTGTGATGAAGTCTCTTCATCTCTCCTCATGTGACAGCCCTCCCCACAAAGCCGAGAACTTAAAGACTCCACGGGGTCCCTTCCTCTTTCATCGTCCCAGCTTGGGCGTTGGGTGGGGTGTGGGGTGGGGGAGGTGGTTGGTGGGAGCAGTCAGTGCTCCATCTCCTAGTGTTCCCAGGACGGGGTTGTGGGGTGTCACCCCTTTATTTGCAGATTCCTTTAGAAAATGAGTCCTTTCTGCTCCCACTTTGGGAGGTCAAGCCTGGGGGAGACTGTGCGCCGTTTCTCACTGGCACCTTAGTGAGAACTGTTTCATCTGAACAATGATCCTGAAGCCAGGTTGAAGAGGGCATGAGGTGACAGTGGGAGGTGAGGAAATGGCAGCCACAACTCTTTGAAGAAGTTAAGCTGTGAAAGGAGGAAAGACAGCCTAGGCAGCTGGTGGAGAGGATGGTTTGAGTGGGTATTTTTGTTTTTCTTTTAATTGGATGAACTCGTACTTAGCCACCAGAAGGTCTTGAGTGCCCTTTAGACTTAGAGAAAGTGGTTTCAGTTAGGTGGAGAGAAGCAGAGTATGATTGCCCGGGGAGTGAGGAAGCAAAGGCAGTGAGTGCTGCCTTAGTAACCCTGGAGAGCAATGGTATTCTCCTGTGAATCTGTCGTTAGAGAAAACCTTAGAGGTTGGAAGAGCGAGGGGGGTTGTGCTTGAGGAATCCTCCTTACTCTGGGATGGCCAAGAGAAGAAAATATATTTCCCTTTGTAAAAGAGGAGATGTTGGAGAAATTGGCATAGTTTTTTTTTAATTAACTACCTTTATCGGCTCCAAGAAGCTCTTAACGGGTACTCTGGTTTGTCAGGCTGTATGGAGTGCTTAGTATTTGGTGTAAAAGAAGCTGCAGCATGCCTGAAATTAATCAGCTGCATCTTTCACATTAATGGAAGTAATATAGACTTCTCTGGAATGACATAAATTTCCACGAAGCCCAGAGCCCTATCTGTGATCTCAACGTAGGCAACTGCAAGGAGGGACATATTTCCTTTTAAATTGTTGGAGTGTTTCACTGAGCTGTGGGGCAGGAAGGAGCTGTCACGTTTGATGAAATGTGAGCATTTTTGGTATTGGTGTTTTATCATGACTGTGGGAAAATTCAGTGAGCCCAATCCTTGCGCATCTCATAGAAATCAAAGGAATGACTTTCAGGAAACAGTAATCGCAACTCACTTATGAATAGCTTCAGAGGAAGACCAGTGGCTGGAGTTGTTAATGTGACACTCGCTGCAAAAGAAAAAGGAAAAAGTGACCAATCTGGGAAAAGAGATTAAAGAGGAAAACAGCTCTATTTCATTTTAGATAATAGGGCGGCCTGTTTAAATTTAGCTTAGTTTAGTTTTGGCAAGAAAGTAAAAATGATTAGTGATGTTTGTTTTGATTCTTGCTGACTGAGGCATTTTTCATTTTACCCAGAAATGTAGGCAGCCCCACCTGTTTTATGAAAGTATAATGTAGTTGCTTTACCTGCCCCTCTGTCCTCTTTTAAGTTCCTCAGGTTGGGAATAGCTTTAAGTGATGCGGGATGCCATCATGACTTTTAAAAGAAAACCTGGAGCCATGTCTGAAAGATTAAGTTTGTCAACTTTTTTTTTTCCATGTCTGAAAGATTAAATTTGTCAACTTTTTTTTTTTGCAAGTTTTCATTGCACTTGCACTTATACATTTAAAAATCAGAAAAATATTCACCTGTATTTTCTTCTTTTCTATATGTTATATTTAGCTATTTAATCTATTTCAAATAAAGATCCTAACCTTTTTTTCTCAATAGCGAAATAAATGTTCTTTACCATCACTCCATTTTATTGTAAATACCATATGTGAGCGCATCAGAGCCTCTACTTTTGTCCTAAGGAAAATGTCTTGATACCCTGTCAGGACTAGGAGAAATGGAGAGCATGCCAGTGACACTTCTTAGGCAAACAGAAAAAGGCAGTGGGCCCCTGGCAAAGGCCCTAAAGCTGTTTGAGAAGATCTCTGGAGTTAATATGGTCATGAGAAGATAAATTCCTTTCCAAAAGTAAACAGATGCTCCTTGTAGAATGGTGTTCAGTATACTGCAGATTGAGTCTCCTA